CACACACCACACACCACACACCACACACCCCTAACCAACCTCTGTCTCCCTAGAGCTTTTCATGGTTTTTGTGCTGGATACTGAGAGCAGTTCTGAGATCCATTAACCTTCCTGTTTTTTCTGTGGTATATTTCAGATTGGGTTTTAAAAAGATGCCAGCAACCATGCTAATTTATGTCTTGTCCAAAGCTGGGCACAGCTCTCCTGGGAGAGCACTTTTTTAAAATGTGTGTTCTTTACATGAATAAATATCTCTGATAACGCACATATTCCTGATATAAAATGAATCTATTTAAAGGTGGAGCTTATAGTCAAAGGCTATCTGAAGAATTCACCTTTTTATCTAAAAATCACAGTCTGGGCTTCCCTGGTGGTGCAGTGGTTAAGAATCCACCTGCCAATGCAGGGGACGCGGGTTCGAGCCCTGCTCCGGTAAGATCCCACGTGCTGCGGAGCAACTAAGCCCGTGTGCCACAACTACTGGGCCTGTGCTCTAGAGCCCGAGAGCCACAACTACTGAAGCCCGTGCGCCTAGAGCCCCTGCTCTGCAACAAGAGAAGCCACCCAATGAGAAGCCCACGCACCGCAACAAAGAGTAGCCCCAGCTTGCTGCAACTAGAGAAAAGCCCACGTGCAGCAACAAAGACCCAATGCAGCCAAAAATAAAAATAAATTTTTTTTAAAGTAAGTAAACAAATAAAAATCACAGTCTTTTGCATCATTTGGAGGCACCCGATTTGGCTCATGTAATTAAACGACACAAACTTTGCTTGAGTCTTTTTATTTTTAAAATACAGTGGCCAGTAATAGTAAAATTTGCATTTGAGCCTCACTGATTTTTTGACAGTTTTTTCCTGTAATTCCTGCCCCATATTTTGTGTTTTTCTCCTTCCATATTATTCAGAAAAAACCTTTCTATAGTCAGGACTTATTCTGTTACTTAAATATATCCCTGATGACCATTTTAAGTTATACTCTTTTCTCTTGATGTATAAAAATGTGCCCCATTCTAATGTTTGTAATTAGGGAAAGTTGAAGCAGCAGTTTCTTCTCTGATTTTTATCTTTCACCTACCAAAGAGTTTTAACAAAGAAACCTTAAGATGGTGCTGATTATAGGACTAATTCAGAATCTTCCTAATTCGCTCCTGTACGTCCCTATTTTGCTTTTAGATCTAGGGGGAAACCATAGGACTTTTTAGTGTGCACTGAATCAGTAAGATTAAAATACAAAATATATTAGGTATTGTTTTGTAATCTCCTTTGATGAAATCTCTTTATACAAATGAGTGTAAAATATTAACCAAATGTTTTTCTTCAAGCTGATGATTAGATTGTCATTTATCCTGAGCAATACCATTGGCTTATGCTTTTGTTGTCACCTAGCCCAGCGGAAGAACTGTATTTTGGAAGTACAGAATCTGAAGAGAAGAAAGCTTTAATAACGTTGACAAATGTAACGAAAAACATAGTGGCATTTAAGGTAAATACCTGAAAGATACAAATTGTGTGTGAAAATTGAAAGATTGATAATTTTGAACTTGCACAGTGGTTTTATTTCTGGTTTTAGGCTTGTCATACTGCCTTCTATCTCTGTGTGTCACAGCTTATCTAAAATTTTCCCTGAGGTCTGTATCTTAGTCTTTAATGTGCAGTAATAGGGTACTGTCCAAATTAGTCCCAGGGTTTGTTTGTTTAAAAAAAAAAAAGACACTTTTCATTGTATGAATAATTTAATTCATAGAGAGTGAAAAAATAAAACTATAAAATCTAAAGTGCAGTTTCCCCCAAGTGTGGTATATTCTGGAGTATAGTTTATACTGGATACTAACCTGACACTGAGCATTAAATATAACAGGACTGGCTCCACCACTGCCCCTTATTGTAGGGTATTACTTCCTTAAATCATCTACTTCCTAGATGTCCTTTGATTGCTGCTTTTAAATTTCTGCACACTATTGTAACATGTGTTCTAATGTGTGTTGTTTTTGAACATGAATTATTAAATTCAGGTGATTAACAGAATAAATATGTAACAGTTTTCAGTTTAAGAGGAAGGCTAAGTAACAGACTGATGAGTGTTTTTTTCTAGTAGATTGAGATGCTTTTTTCCTGCAGATGGGAAAAGATATATTCTATATATGTAACCACCAAGATTGTTTTATAGACTTTATTAATGATTTTTAAGTCATTTTAAAGCCATTTCCCCCCCAAAGAGCATAAAGGTTATGTGACTACTGTTTTTTTGTAAACAGGTGAGAACAACTGCTCCAGAAAAGTACAGAGTCAAGCCCAGCAACAGCAGTTGTGACCCGGGTGCATCAGTTGATATAGTTGTGTCTCCCCACGGGGGTGAGTTGTCACCTGGCTGGCCACAGTGGGGTGTTATGGGAGGCCTGGGGCTGGGTGATGACTCAGCAAAGCTGGACTGGAATCTAGAAATTAGCAGGGTATCAGCAAGTCACCTCGCCACACTCTGGGCATCCATTTTCTCACCTGTAAAATGAGACGGGTGAATGGCTCTCATTAGAACAAAATTTTTTTAAGAAGTAAAATTGTTTAAACTGATGCCAGTTAAAATTGAATTTCAAACAAAAAAATTCTTCATCTTTAGGAGAACTTTTTCCTTTTTTAAGATAGTTCCGGGCTTCCCTGGTGGTGCAGTGGTTGAGAGTCCGCCTGCCGATGCAGGGGACACGGGTTCATGCCCCGGTCCGGGAAGATCCCACATGCCACGGAGCAGCTGGGCCTGTGAGCCGTGGCCGCTTAGCCTGCATGTCCAGAGCCTGTGCTCCGCAACGGGAGAGGCCACAACAGTGAGAGGCCCACGTACCGCAAAAAAAAAAAAAAAAAAGATAGTTCCATATTATTCGTTTTCCTTAGTGTTTTCTAGAATAATGCTTAAGCCACATAGCCAACCCTTTGTCCCTTTGTAAAGGTTCCTGTTTATTATATAATAAGTTACCCTTTTGGAATGCAGGTTTAACAGTCTCTGCCCAAGACCGTTTTCTGATAATGGCTGCAGAAATGGAACAGTCATCTGGCACAGGCCCAGCAGAATTGACTCAGTTCTGGAAAGAAGTTCCCAGAAACAAAGTAATGGAGCATAGGTATGCTTTTCCCTTACAGGCTCTCAAATTGCAATGGGAAAAATCCCAAAGAGGAATGCACCTCCATGGGCTCATAAGCAGGCATCCCTTCCTCCTGGCATTTGGCAGACATCTAGGCTTACACTGTTGGCCCCAACCCCTACAAGGCTCAGGTACAAGACCTGGAGTTTCTCTAGGAGATTGCTAATAGCAGAGATTTGTTTGCTGGCCACTGCAAGAATCTGAATGTGTCAAAATTACAAACAGATTTTCTCTTACAGCAGTTACCTTTGTAGGAATGCTCACCTTATGTACTAGAATGTTTGCTGCAGTGAAACATTGTTTCACAAAAATTGTCTAGTAGTGGAAAATGGAAAAGAACCTCAATGTTCATCAGTAAAGTAATAGTGAAATGCATTTGAGAAGTACTCTGAAGCCATTCAGAATGGCTTCAAGAGTGTAGTACATCTGTTTGTTCTGATACCTGTGACATACTATTAGGAAAAGAAAAAAACCTACTCACAGAAAAGTATGTACGACAATTATCCTATTTAAGAGAAAACCCTGTGACTATATAGGCATATACACGTATGTCTGTGCATGTGTGCAAAAACGATGTATAGGAAAGAGGAGGAGAATAGAGAAGAAGGTTGGTTGTGGGGTTTTTTTCGGAGTGTGCCCAGTTTTGCTCCCCAAGGGACGCAATACCTGGGGACATTGTTGGTTGTCATAACTGGACAGTGGGGTGCCGTGGAGACATTGTTGGTTGTCATAACTGGACAGTGGGGTGCTGTGGGCATCTAGTAGGTAGAGACCAGGGATGCTACTCAATATCCCACCATGCACAAGACAGCACCCCATGACGAAGAATGATCCAGCCCAAAATGTCAGTGGTGCCAAGACTGAGAAAGCTCAGTTGAGGGTAGTTAAGGATGGCCACACTGATGACATTTGAGTAGGACCTGAAGGAAATGAGAGTAGGCCACATAGATAACAGGGAAAAGAGCTTTGCAGGTAGAGGGAGCCATAAATGAAAAAGATGTGTGCTTGGCCTGGGTGAGGAACAGCAAGGAGGTCAGTGTAACCTGAATCCAGTACGGGATGCCAGATCATTGCCATAGTGAGAACTTCTGGTTTTGAGAGGAGAAACCATTAGTTGGTGCTGAGCAGAGCCATGAGGTGATCGGCTTGTTTTTTTTTTAAAGGATTACTCTGGGAGGCTTTGTAGAAAAATAGACTGTGGGCAGACATAGATGAAAGAGTGATACTGAGTTAACAACACTTAGACTAGCGCTGGCATATAGCAAGTTCTATTTAAGTGTGGTACTCTACTCTCCTTTATTCAGTCACTAAAACAACCCTAGGTCATAGGTAGTTATTTTTCCCTTTTTATAGACGAGAAGCTGAGAAACCTAGTAAGGGTTGTAGTTGAGTTCAATCTTCAAATAAGGAGTTGAAAGAATACAGATGCGGCTGGAACAGAGTGTGAGAGGAGCCATAGTAAGAAAGCATGTTGGAGGCAGACAGGGCCCAGAGGAGCAGCTTGGGCACCACTGTAAAACCACTGGGAGAACGTCGACCTGCTCTGAAATGCCTTGGACAAGATTACCCTTTGCGGGCAATTCATAGAGGGTAGGAGAACAAGAATAAGAATGGGCCTGGGAAGACGAGCTTTATTTCCTCTAGGCTAGGTCTAACTTGTACCCAGCGAGAGAGGGTGAAAGTTAGACACAGCTCAGAGGAATATTTAGTAGCCAAATGAAGGAGAACAATACAGGGCGTCAGGAGGGAAAGCAGTAGGTGAGCTGTGTCAGTAAGGCCCGGGGTAGAGTGTGTTTCACAGAGGAGGAACAAAGTGCTACCAATGTCAGTCAAGGATGAGGTGTGAGGCGTGGCCGTTGCTGGTGACGTGATGGAGGTAACTGACGACCTCACGGGGAACACTGTGAGTTGGTAGGAGCCAGATGCCAAAGAAACACAGGTAGTAAGACTTCTGGACGTTGGGCTTGTCGGGGAGGGACCAGGGTCATAGTTGGAAGGAAGACTGTGTTGTTGAGAAGGGGTTGTTTGGGATTTTGTAATGGGAGATATTTGAGCGTTGTTTAAAACCATAGTAAGGACCATTTCCGAAGGAGAGGCTGACCTTACAAAATAAACCATTGACAGTGAAATTCCTGAGAAAGTTAGAAGGAACAGAACCTAAAGCCGAGGTAGGAACACGGATCTAGATAAGGCTCATTGTGACAGTTGTGGTGACAGTTGTGACATGTTTTTAGATGGAGACGACGTTTAAATTTTCAAGTTACTTTTCAGGAGGGCCTACTTTTGAAGTTCTTATCAAACAGTACCTCAAAATTATGGGGTTTTTTCTTTCTTTTTGGGTTGCTTTGTAAATCAGTTTCTAATGGCTTTCTGTTCTATAACTGTCAAAAGAGAATCACTTACCTCACAGAAACAGGGGGACTTGGTGGTTTGGTACTGAAGGCCCAGGTGAAAGCACTGCCTCCCATCGAGAAAGGGTGGCTTCCTGCAAATCGGAAGATCAGGTGAATTCTACTGAATATCATATAAACTTCTCTTAGGTTATTGAGCACTGTGTGTAACTGTGTTATTTATACCTGCATTAAGAAGCTGGAGGATGTAGGAAAGGGAAAATAATTCTCCCTCTACCCTTCCAAGTTCTTGGCTGAGACCCACTGTAGTAAAAGACAGACGAACAGGAGAGAAACAGAAGTTTCATAACATGGACGCCTCCTGTATACGTGGGAGAGACCCAGGAAAACTGAGTAACTCTCCCAAATGGCCCAAGCCACCACCTTCGCTACCATCTCCAGTGAAAGACAAAAGAAAGATGTTGTGGGGCAGAGGAAGGCTATCACGAAAAGCACGGTAAACAAGGATAAAGTTATTATGCTAATTTAGGCAAATTCCTGTCTTCTTGAGGTCCCCAAAATATTCTGAGGTTCCTGAGCTTGCCAGGAAGTGACTTTCCTTACTCACCTAGTAAGGCTGTCTGGAACCCTGTAAGCAAGGTACCAGGTCAGTTGTTTCCAAGGGTCTTTAGTTCCTTAAAGCCATCTGGTCATATCCGACTTCATGCATTTCATCTTCATATATGACATTCAAGTCAAAAGCTTGATAATACAACCGTATTTCCAATTGTGTCCTGTTACAAGGAGAACAGATTCTCATTGAACTTGTGCAAATAACTGTATCACCGTGAAAATGAGAACATTCACTAAGAGTTTCTAAATTCTGGAGGGATCAGGTATGGAGAAAAATTGTCTCAATTCTGCTTACAAAGGTATAATTCACCAAATTGCAGTAAATCATAGATAGCTTAAGAGGAAAAGTTCTTCAATCTGGAGAAACAAAACGTGTTTCAATCATTCTCATCAATTCATTCAATCCCACGTTATTAATTTTTGTTCTGCCTGAATTCAGTTTTTTCCATTAGTTCTGGAAATTCTTACCCAGCTCAGTTTTACAGTCTTAAAAGTTACCAGAAACCTGTGTTCTAGAGTACTTGTCAGAGTCCTTTTTGTGAATCTCTTTGAAGGTGAAACATGTATCTATACAAGTACAATCAAGAAGGTTTAGTATTCTTATTTGACAATGTGTCCCACATAATTTAACATATCAAATAAGCCTAAGTGGTTCAATATCTTTTTATAAAGAGAGGTCAAAAAGACTTCATTTAGAATTTGATTTGGGGACGTTTGTCAAAAATATCAAAAGGTTTTGGACACTTGACTAAATAGAATCATAAATCATTATGAAACAATACTTAATTATCCAGTTAACCAAAGTGACAGTTAAAAACATTTCAAAGGCAAATACAGAAGGTCACATAGTTGCGAGCAAAACTTAGCTCCTAATCTTAAAACTGAGTCTTTTAATTAAAGACCTGCTGATAAAGATAAGATGAAGCACAGGAAATTATTTTGATAAAATGCACAATCTTTCCTTTCTAGGCAGATTACTTAAAAAGGTAAAGAAAAACCTTTCACAATCTCTTATCAGGAGCAGACCACACCAAGAGCCCAGTAAAACTGTCCCTTTAGCAAAAAAAGAAAATTTAGTTTCATGTAATTACACTGTTGATATTAAGCTTATTTTTAAAACCCTAAAACAAATTTATTCAATTTTAGCCAGCTTGACTACACAAGGTAAAATTTTCTCTTTCTGTCTCTTCCCAACTTTCTGTATCCATTTATTCTCCTACTTTCTCCTCTGAAATAACTATAGCTTAACTTTAGGATAAAATCACTTTCACTTCCCTTAACAAAAATGCACCTCCCTACTTCTCTTGGCCAAAAACACATCCTAATTCTTATGTACAGGGTTGATATACTTATTTCTAGCCGTTTTAATAATCCTTAGAAATGTTACTTTCTAGTGAAAACTAATAAATAAGCACTTGCAGTCTGTTACACCAGCATTCTTTGGATTGGCAAATTTATGAATATATTTCATAATTTCTAGAAATAGATACTTCCTCACAGTCACAGTATAGTTTTTCATTGTGGCACAAGATATGTTTACTAATATACCCAAATACCTTTCATTCTGTAATAAGAAGCCAGAAGTAGATAAACCTATGTGTAGTAATTAATGTTTCACTATTTTATCTTATTTGGAAATGATCTAGATATTCAGTGAATTTCCTGTCATTTAACTTAGCAAAACTCTAAAGTTTCAAGTCACCAAAGACATTTGGAAAACTGTTTGTAAGAGATATACCATAAAATATACTCATTGCTGATAAGTTCACCTAACGTTTATCTCGCTGACATTTATCTAAATCACTTGCTACCAACAATTGTTTAGACTCTTCACACAAACGCCAGGAGACATTACACAAAATCAGCCATCATGCCAAGGTGTTCTTCTTGCTAACAAATTTTGTAACAGAGATAACATGAACTTACTTATTTGAATAGTAAGCCCAGGTAGAATAAAGGTTGCAATGTCTCTATTATATCAAGACCTGTATAATTAAACCAGCCAGTTAACCCAGTTTGTTTGTTTTGTATTGAAGTATAATTGATTTACATTATGTTAGTTTCAGGTATTCAACATAGTGATTTGATATTTTTATAGATTATACTCCATTTAAAGTTATTATAAAATAATGGCTGTATTCTCTGTACTGTACATTACATCCTTGTATCTTATTTTTTTAACATCTTTATTGGAGTATAACTGCTTTACAATGGTGTGTTAGTTTCTGCTGTATAACAAAGTGAATGAGCTGTACATATACATGTATCCCCATATCTCCTCCCTCTTGCGTCTCCCTCCCACCCTCCCTATCCCACCCCTCTAGGTGGTCACAAAGCACTGAGCTGATCTCCCTGTGCTATGTGGCTGCTTCCCACTAGCTAGCTATTTTACGTTTGGTAGTGTATGTATGTCCATGCCACTCTCTCACTTTGTCACAGCTTACCCTTCCCCCTCCCCCTGTCCTCAAGTCTATTCTCTATGTCTGCATCTTTATTCCTGTCCTGCCCCTGGGTTCTTCAGAACCTTTTTTTTTTTAGATTCCATATATAGGTGTTAGCATACGGCAATTGTTTTTCTCTTTCTGACTTACTTCACTCTGTATGACAGACTCTAGGTCCATCCACCTCACTACAAATAACTCAATTTTGTTTCTTTTTATGGCTGAAGAATGTTCCATTGTATATATGAGCCACATCTTCTTTATCCATTCATCTGTTGATGGACACTTAGGTTGCTTCCATGTCCTGGCTATTGTAAATAGAGCTGCAATGAACATTGTGGTACATGACTCTTTTTGAATTATGGTTTTCTCAGGGCATATGCCCAGTAGTGGGACTGCTGGGTCGTATGGTAGTTCTATTTTTAGTTTTTTAAGGAACCCCACACTGTTCTCCATAGTGGCTGTATCAATTTATATTCCCATCAACAGTTCAAGAGGGTTCCCTTTTCTCCACACCCTCTCCAGCATTTATTGTTTCTAGATTTCTTGATGGCCATTCTGACTGGTGTGAGGTGATAGCTCATTGTAGTGTTGACTTGCATTTCTCCCATGATTAGTGATGTTGAGCATCCTTTCATGTGTTTGTTGGCAATCTGTATGTCTCCTTTGGAGAAATGTCTATTTAGGTCTTCTGCCCATTTTTGGATTGGGTTGTTTGTTTTTTTGATATTGAGCTGCATGAGCTGCTTGTAAATTTTGGAGATTAGTCCTTTGTCACTTGCTTCATTTGCAAATATTTTCTCCCATTCTGAGGGTTGTCTTTTGGTCTTGTTTATGGTTTCCTTTCCTTTGCTGTGCAAAAGCTTTGAAGTTTCATTAGGTCCCATTTGTTTATTTTTGTTTTTATTTCCATTTCTCTAGGAGGTGGGTCAAAAAGGACCTTGCTATGATTTATATCATAGAGTGTTCTGCCTATGTTTTCCTCTAAGAGTTTTATAGTGTCCGGTCTTACATTTAGGTCTCTAATCCATTTGGAGTTTATTTTTGTGTTAGGGAGTGTTCTAATTTCATTCTTTTACATGGAGCTGTCCAGTTTTCCCAGCACCACTTATTGAAGAGGCTGTCTTTTCTCCATTGTATATTCTTGCCTCCTTCATCAAAAATAAGGTGACCATAGGTACGTGGGTGCATCTCTGGGCTTTCTATCCTGTTCCATTGATCCATATTTCTTTTTTTGTGCCAGTACCATACTGTCTTGATTTAACCCAGCTTTTATTTACCAAAGATTATCCCAGATCCTGTGAACTTGAAAAAAATTTGGGGTTAGTTTCTCTATTTCTGAGTTTTAGGAATATTCAATTTGAAAAGCACTTATTTTTCTTTAAGCCAGTCGAATAGTTTTTATGAATTAATCTTGGCAGTACCATTCAGAAGTAGGAAAATATCACACATTTAGAACATATATATATATATATATATATATATATATATACACACACACACACACACACGTAAACATACAGATGCAAACCAGAGACCTTATAGCTTTGGTTCCAGAATTTTAGCCATGAATTAGGTACAGTGACAACAAAACTCACTAGCTTATTAAAGAACAGTTGGATCCGAACTGTGTTTCTGGCAGTTGGAATAAGTTTACCTGCTCAGAGTGCTAAAGGTTTTTTTTAAAAAAACTAATATTTGTGGCGTTTTTTGTTTTGCTTTTTTCATTTGCCCAATTTCAAAACAGCTCCTTTTCTTTAACTTCTGATGAGCTTCATTTTCCTAAAGTTTGCATTTCTATGAGCTGGCTATCAGGTCCTACAGAAGGTGGGGTAGAAAATTTACACCTCAAAGGGACAGAGAGAGTAAGGTTTTTTTTCCTGGAGTTTTGGGGGTACTTTACCTATTATCAGAGGTTTAGCGAAATTACCGTTTAAATGTTTCCTTACTTTTCTAAGTACAGAACAGTTCTGTTTCCAGTGACGTGGTCTTTCTTTCGTAATACCTACAAGTATTTTGAGATAAACAGGGCAGGTTTTGGAATGGTTAGAATAGGTGAACTTTGAATTGCTTCTAGAGCCGAATTTCTGGTTTTGTGAAGATTTGCAAGACAAAGACAGTTGCTTTTACTTCCTCAAAAAATTGGATTGCAGCCTGAATGGCATCCAACTACATTTTCTTCAGTTTGCTTTATATCAGGGAGATTTCCAATTACGACGGAAATCAAATGATTTCTACGTTCTGGAGTTTCAGGGCTTAATGCAGCACCTGTACAAAGTCTGTAGAAAGCGTCCAACAAAGGCCTTTGAAAGCTCTCCTTTTTCTGAGTGCACAATTCAACCTTGGACCAATTCACCTTAGGGGAAAAAGCCCCTACTTCTGTCAGCCCCTGAATATTGGCCTTCAGCTGATCCATTTCCTGATAATTTGGGAGGAATTCTGGTCATATGCTGCCCGTGTGAGTGTGCCTGTTTTCCCTAGGGGGGCCATCGGGCTTGTCTGATAACTGCAGTATAGTATAATCATGGGTGTGAAGAACACCCCTTAGCAGCCAATCAAGGTCCCTATGAGTGGGGAACTGAATGGCCACTAGTCTTTTTTAACTCTTCTCCAAATTTGGTAGATATCTTCTGAAAGTGGAGGTAAAAAGAGCTTTGTAATTTCATCTTACTAAGGACGTCCCTAAGGCTGGCCCCCATACTCCTTCACGTCCTCCTTTCAAGTTGGTCTTTCCATAGATACCAAGAAAGACAATTGTTTAGGCTGAGAGCTCTCTAAAAAATGTTTAAACACAGAAGTTTTTCCAATTCAAAAGATCCATCATTTGGCCATTGATGAGTGGTAGGATCTTATATTAATCTCAACAGCAACTCAAACTTATAAGCCTTTTTACGGCTTAACCGTGGATGCAAGAGGCATCCCGAAACGGGGTGCAAAAGATGCAGCCCTCACACGATTCAGAAAGCTCACTCCCAGAGTCAGCCTAAGGAAGCAAAGACCTTCATTGTCACACGTGGTTAGAATGGGGTCGTGAGAAGTGTCTCCCGTTTCCCATAAGAATGATATGCCTTCAGTTACAAACCTGCGACACTGGGTAAGCACTACTGGAACAGGACTTTTCCAGCCCTAAGTAAGACAAGAAGGTGGAGACCACAAGGGGCCCTTATGACCGACGCCCACGAGAGCCGGTAGCATCAGAGAATGCTGCTTATCAGTTAGTGTCCCGGATCCCCAGCCTATTCAGGTGGTCGCCAGGTGCACGCAGACACGTGCATCATCCCTCTGGCAGAGACCAGAGAGACTGTTCTCCCTGTTCATAAAGCCAAGCCCGCAAGACAGGGTAAAACGAAAGGAAAAGCTCATCTGTCCTGTGGTTCTCCTTCTGACAACACAAGAGACAGAGATAAAAGAAAACGACCGTCTGTGGGAGGAAAGAGGACCAGTAGAAGACAAAAATACTCATAACAAAAATCTCTACCAAAGTCACAATACCTAAGGAACTGGCTGACACAAATATTTTCTCCTGCTAATCTCAATTTGGAAAAGAAGGGACAAGGTGAAATTTTTACCTTCCTCTCTCAACTGCACCAGACTGAGATCCAGGAGAGCTGACTTTAGTAAGAATTCTTACCCTTCTCGGGCTTGTGCCCGTTTTCCAGAATCCCATCTGCAGGCTCCCAAGTGAGTATGGTATCTCAGCAGCTCCCAGGGTAGGTTGCCAAACTGTAGGAGAGGAAAAATAATTTTCCCTTTATTTTTCTACGTTCTTGGCTAAGATCCCCATCCCACCCCCACCCCCCGCCATACCCCCGTAATCACAGACAGGTGAACAGAAGAAAACAGGAAAAAAACAGAAGTTTACTAGCATGTATACCTCCTGTATACTTGAGAGACCCAGGAAAACAGTAAAACTTCCCGCAATGGCCCATGACACCACCTTAAATACCACCTCCAGCTAAAGAGAAAAGATGATGTTGTGGGCGAGGGAGCCAGTTCTGGGAGGATGGTGGGAAAAGCACAACATACACGGCTAAGGTTGTCCTGTGGATTTAAGTCTCTGCCTTCTCCATTGATAAGAGTCTCGAGAGATACAAAGTCATCCTCCTGTACCCGGCAGAGAGGGAGACACCCTTACAAATGGAGATTTCCCTTGTAACTGTGCATGTCTCACAAAAAGGTAACTTCTCTTCACTTTTCAGAGCTTCTACTGAAAAGTGAAAAAGGTTTCCACTTTTGTCTGCTTTTTCTTAAAAAATAACCAGCTCAAGATAAACCTTGTGCCCCAGAGGCACGTTTTGGGGTGGCAAATTCTGCTTCCCTTCAAAGATAAACACACGTTGAGCTAGCTGCTCCCTTAGGTATATCTGGGGAGAGGAATGAGTACTTTCACCTCTGTTACATACACTTCTGTGTTTAACTGTTTTCATTTTACACTTTACTTTTCAAAAATTCATTAAAAACTTTAAGAAGTTATGTTTCCTTTGTACTTTCATAGGTTAAGATGCCATATTGTTGAGAGCATTAAGCCAACCACTCTTACATTAAAACACCATGCCTTTAACATGTCAGATAAAACCAGTGAAGAGCTCTATCTACAGGTAAGTGTTCTTTCTTCCTAACTATAAGTCTTTAGTGTTAATCAATATTAGAAATCCATTTTTTCCCCACTGACATAAAGCAGACCTTTGGCATAGCCACGACAGAAATGCTCTCTTCTTTGTGAAGGGAAGCCAGATCAGAAATGGTAAGTGGTGCGTTACTTTTGGAGATCTTCTAACTAACTTTCTGAAAGCTCTGGCTATTTCAATTTGGACTAGGGACCTTATAGCAAAGCGCATGGTATTTTGGGGGGTATCGAAGAACTTGATCTCATGGAAAAGGTACCATGTAGTGCATTTAAATTTGAAAAAGGTGGAGGAGCTCTCTTTCTGAATAGCTGGTTTCAGTACCTCCAGGAAATGATTGCTTTGTTCCTTTCTCAACTAGAGAATTAGACCTTTTCAAAATGAGAACAGATACACATCCGTTCAGCAACCAAATTGCATTCCCAGCTCGCAGCCCTTCAGAGTAGATGGACTCTATCCCATAAATGTTCGTGGGATTTCTAATATTCCCGTTTGTCATGCACATGATTCTTGTACTGTTTTATTGATACAAACCTTTCATCCTTTTCTTCCCTCTTTAGCTCAATCGTTTACTAGAAAGCAACAGGAAGCTTGAAGACCAAGTTCAGCATTGTATCTGGTTCCAGCAATGGCTGCTTTCCTTAACAGTGGTCTCGCTTGCTTTTGTCATCTCTCTCTTCTATTTGTTGTGCAGTTAAAGAAGTGGTGCTCGGTAGGAGACATGGCTTTTCCGTTCATTAGTTGGAAAAAGTACCTCCCAGAACTTCTCCACCATGCTGAAAGTGTCACACATCTGTGCTTCCTTCCTCCAAGGAAATGTACGGCATTTGGGGGGCGGGGGGGGGGAACTGAAACATGTCTTGAAAATAAACTGTTAACAATAAGGAAACGCTGAAGATATTGATTATAAGAAACTATAGGTAGTTAGTCAAGTAAGTAAAGGTATATCTGTTGTGTGACTTAATAGAGATAATTTATTTTTCCCTTTTGATTTAATACTTTTAAAGCTTGTTCTATCATGTATATATGTTAGCTGAACGGAAAAGTAACATGCTTTGTTGCAGCCAAAAACTGTCATCTGCTTTTTTTTTGACAGAATTATTATAGCTGAGCCAACTTATTAGCTTTTCTATACTATGTATATAGAAGAACATGTATATTGAAAAAACATACAGAGTAATTTCTGTAACCATGACTTTGTAATTTTGAGAACTACTAACAGATGCTAGTCGATGTTCTTTTGGAATGTACAACTACTTAATGCCAAACCACCTTTAGCCTTTGTTTCTTATCCGTCTTCCTTAACGGCCTGCCTGCCTTTTATTATTAATCTCAGACTTTTTAATGAACACTCACACTCTCATTTAGCTAGGATTTGGGGAACTAAGTCTGGTTGGATTTTCTCTAAATTCTGTCCGTCAGTAACGTCCAGAAGAAGAACCTCTCCAGTCTTTTTAGGCGCAGTTTCACGTTGCTCTCTCTGGCTGGACAGGGACCCTTTTGCTTCACTTATTATAAAGGCCTGATCCTCCATTGGACCATCTTCACCCTCCTTTCTAAACTAAAGGAGTTAGATAAAATTTTTTTGAAAAGTTAGTTTTTGAGATGCAGAGCAGTATAATTCATTTACATTTCGATTCCTTGCTAAAATCAGCCACGAGAAGGGAACTTTCGGTAAGAGTGAAAAAATAAATCGAAAGTGTCACTTCTCGGTTTAAGAGTGAAAAACACTGTAAAAACTTCAGACCAGGGTTAATTGACTCACTTGATATATTCTGCCTTTGTCACAGCAATACTGAGGACGGTTCCTCAATTCGTAACATGATACACCTCGCAGGAGCAGAGCCTAATGCAAGTAGTTTGTTTTCTCATTTAATATAAACAGTTTTGGTCCATGTTGGTTCACATATAAATCTACTTTATATGAAAGAAAAAAATAGTCTGCCTGTAAAATAAATTTTGAGTTTTGATTGAGCCATGTTTGCAGAATGTTTTATTCTGAGGTTGTAGTGTTGGCGGTTTTCATCTTGAGAATGTGATGATTCCCAAATGGCATTATGAAGAATGAAAAAATAGAGTTCCTTCAAAACTGGCCTAGGAAATAAAACCTTAAATGGACACTGGTCTGATACTTCGTCTTAATTTGGGTTTTTCTGTTTCAGTTTGCCACCTCCAGACGTGAAACTGACTGCAGCCCACCCTAAGTACTGTCCATAGTATCTCCCTGTGTGTGTGCACAGCGATTTCCCCTTATATGTTAGATTCCTGGCTTTGTTATAATCTAATCCCGAAGTATCTGTGTATGTGTTTTGTTCTTCAGCAAATAAGCGAGGAAATAGTCAAAATTGGAAATGTATTGTCCTGACGGTGTCCCTTTAATGTTTCACATGAAAATTACATTGACTCACTAAAATGTTTTTCCCTGATGTCTGGCCAGCTGAATTTAATAACATTTCTTGTTAACATTTGTGTGTCTATTAAATGTGACTAAGCAAAATATATTGAAAATTAACCATAAAATCAAAGGCATCTAAACTTCTGTACTTGTCTTAATTGATCACATATATTTACATTTGATTTTATTGTGTCTTCGTTTGATTTTATTTAATCACGTCTGTATGACTGAGTATGCTATAATTAATAATTTTATTTTTTAATATGTCATTACCTGTTCATGACCAAATTACCAAGGACCAACATTCAGATTTAAATTATCTTCACTTGGAATGGAAATTCATAGAGTTTCCATGAAAACATTAATGAAATATCATTATAGGCAAGTAGCCTAAAGATACAATTGCTGGTAAACCTAGCCTCAAATTTCATAATATACCATAACTGTTTTTATATCTTGCCACTAATTTTGACTGGATTTAATAGCACTTTATTGTACAATTGCAAAAAACAAAAATATATTCCTAGAATTGTTGCCGGTGTAATTTCTCTAATGTTCTGGTGCTTTTCATATATTTTCAGTATTTTTATTACTATATTGGTATTTTCTTTGTATAAACTGATCAAAAGAACATGTTTTCTATTTTAATATGTTTTAGAAAAATAATTACATTTATGCAATAAATATCATCAGGAAAAACCTCTGGTCTCTAATTGATAAAGCATCTTAAAAATCAAAGCTCAGGTTCACTCTGACCTTCCAAAGATCACATTAATTTCTTCTGCGCCTACTTATCTTTTTATAAGGATGGCACCACAAACTTCCAAAGGCACAATTGTGTCATCAGGTGAACCCGTCCCTAGTGTGTCCCGTTTCTCCTCGCCCCTGGGTCAGGGTCTGGCTGCTCTTCAGGGGAGCTCTCCATTTTCCGGACCTAGCGTTGGCCTCACTGTCACAGCTGGGGGCTCCATCACAGAACCTATCACTAGAGTGGCCACACATGTCAGAATTGCCCTACATCCCTCAATCCTAGTACCTATACACCTGCCTGCTGACAGGAACCTGCAGGAAGCAGGCTGACAAGAAATCCTACCTGGCTGCCGGGCGCATGGCAGGTGGTCCCGGCGAGAAGGCACCGGAGCACGGCACGTGGGTGTGGTTCAGGAGGGGCGGCCCCGGATAGCGATGGCAAAGGCCCTGGGGATTGTTTGTGTGGTTCCCCTCGCCACTGGAAGACACAACTCCCAAGTGCAGCTCCATAAAATAGAACGAAAAGGACAGGTCCATCTTCTAAACTGCAAAAGAGGTCGAGATACAAAACCATGGGAAAAATTCAAAAGAGAGCCACAAAGACAGACCGGTAACCTACCAAGGAGCCCCACACCTACCCAGGACTCTGAGGGTGTGGCCTCCTTTCCCAAAAGATGCAACTTTCTAGGAAAGAGCTCCTGTGTGGGGAAGGCTCCAGCTAGGAAAGGATCAGTTACTTTACAGCGACCCGGCTCTTCTCTAAATTTTACCAGCAACTTAAGGTTTCTTGATGTCAGAACAACATGGGTCCCCAGAAGCACAGGACTCCCCTTTTCTTCCTGGCCCGAGGGCACGGAATGGAAGTCCTCCCATTTGTCCCAGCTGACGGAGTGGTGGTCAGGAGTGAGGGCTCTGAATGAAGACTGCCCGGGTTCAAGTCCCCTCTCTGACATTTGCTACCTGTGTGACCCGGGAATGTTAATTAACCTCTTTCAGCCTCAGTTTCCTCATCCCTAAGTGCCTCTGATATCAAAGTACAACTTCCCAGGATGAGTGTGAGAGGGAGAGGAAATCTTGCATTTAAAAGCAGCCCCGGAGAGGCTAGCCCGGCTTTGTTGATGTTGCCTCCACCACCTTCCACTCCAGCTCCCCAGAACTTTTCACACTTGGGTTGATGTCCTGAATATCCCGTCTCACTCAAAGCCAAATGTCAGCTCTCCAAACTTTTCCCTGCTCTGTACTCCCATCCTTGCCTTCTTGGTACTTCACTCTGAATTCTGGTGCCCAGGTCAAGGGACGCGTGTAGATGGCCAGTGATGATCAACTGCCTTGAATCCTGTAAAGGAGTATCCCTTACCAGTCAGAGGAAGACTTGGTTTGATGCTTCCTTCCACCACTGCACCCACACCCCGTCATAACAGCACACCCACACCTGGAATTCATCTTGCAATATTCCACCCATAACAGTTTCCCGTTACATTTGTAACAATTCCATAAAAATATCACATAGGATCTTTCACATCTTCATAACAATTTCATCCTTAACACTGAATATAATTACTTCCCTCTAATGTCCAAAGATTCTCTTCCCTACCCTACTCATGTCCCCTGCCATGCAAAGTAAAGCCAATCTCTTGCACATGTTAAAATATTTGAGACAGCTGGTTCAACGGGCAAGAATACAGAATCCTTGAAATGACCAGTTGTTCGTGTTCCTTTGTCTGAACAATGTGAGAATACATGATAAGACCTTGTGTTTTACAGATAAGGAAACCAAGAGCCTGAGAAATAATTCTTTTTCCCAAGGTCACAGGCTAGTTGGTTTCAGAGCCAAGAGTTGAACTAGTCTCCCAAGTCCACTGCTTGTTACAACCACTCAGAACTGCCACATCTGAGTCATAGGTTACAACGTTGAAAGGACAGCTCCAAGAACTTTACCTACCCCAAACAGCAGGAGACGAAAAAGAGAAGATAGAATACTTGAGAAGCAGAGGTGACAAAACACAAATAACCACTCAAGACCCTTGGTTGGAAACGTACTTGGAATTCTAAGCTACAGACAGAACTTACTTTGTGAAAGGTTTGAAACGTACAGGTTAATGTACTGTTTACTTTGATGGAGGGCTGTGTCGTGCAACATCAACCTTCTGAGAGGTTTAGCCATCACTCCGTAGAAGGGCACCTAGTAGGGTTGCAGCTACTAGTTGTCTCAGCCGTAGTCTCGTCACCTCAAGGAGTCATGTGTTTAACACAATCACATCATAGATGTTTTCTATTGCCAAGTAACAAATTACCACAAAGTTAGCATCTTAAAACCACCCGAATTATTTCATAGTTTGTGTGGGCTGAGTCTGGTACAGCATGGCTGGGTTCCCTGGTCAAGGTCTCACAAGACTGTCAGCCAATGACATCCTCCATGGAGGCTCAACTGGATAAAGATCCACTTCCAAGGGCTCACCTGATTAGATCAGATCCAGCCAGGACAAATCTCCCTTCTGATGAACTCAAAGATAACTGATTAGAAACTTTACATCTGACAAATCCCTCCTGCTGCATAAGCTTACCTAAATCATGGGAGTGTTATCCCATCACATTCACTAGCCCCAGCCCCCACTCAATGGAAAGGGTTACACAGAGTGTGTATTGGGTAGAACCTGCAAGCTCATCCAATCTGGTCCCCTCACTTTGCAGACCAGGAGACAGAGGGTCAGAAAGCTGAACCCAATCTTACCCAGCCTGACTGACTGCTTTGAATTCACAGATGACCTCACATGAAAAGAAATAGACTACAACTTCTGTGTTAGGCATCAAATGATAGTCGAGGAGGACAGTATATCTCTATCCCGGTTGGCTTTCTCCAGTCTCATAACTTCAGTGCACACAAATATTCAAACTTTTATAAATCATTTGTTAAGGGAAAGTATGTCTCCACTATTTTAAACATTGACTCGATCATAAACACTCAAGAAACATTCTCACGATGAGTTAATGTGCTAGGGCAAAGAGGACTTCCAGTAATTGTGTGCTTTTGTAAATGAAGCTGTAGTGAAAAACAACCAGTTTTTTTTAACTTTCCTTTTTTTTTCCGAATAATCCATTTCAGTTAGTTTATTTAAATTAGTGTTCTCAGACAGACATATGCTCTGTTAAGGTAGCTATGAGAAAAGATTAAAACTAAGAAAGGAAAAAAATCATTTTCTTATGGACACTTGCATCATGATTCCCAGTATATTTACTATCTAATTTACTTTGTATCAAAGTCCAGTGCCTTGAATTCTAATTATTCCAAAAAGTCCCCTGCAAATTTTCAGGTCATTACAGAGCAGTGCATGTATGTGTGTGCTGAAAATGTCACTAGCTTTTTTAAGTCACCCAAAACTCCTTCTGCGTGGATTTCCTATTGCCCCATGAATGCAAACTTGATTTTACCTTCTATGTATGTTTGTTTCTGACTGCAAGAAACTTTGAAACTACTAATATTATGACTGTCCCCTTTTGCAGGATCTGGGACTATAACAAACTAAGACGTGAATCATTTGTCTTTCCCATTCCAATATTCCTCTCTCTTTTCTGCAGCAAACCCTCACCCTAATATTGTCATACAGATTCATTCAGTACAACTTACTATTTGCAGTTAAATTTGCCCTGAACTGTTTTCACCCACTAACAGGCAAATGGGCTTGAGTCAAATACCAAATCACTGTTCTCAGTCATAAACTAAATGTCAAAAATGTGTTTTAGGTACTTTTCCAACACTCTGTGACTCCAGCTACTTCCTTTTGCAGGGGTGGAGAGGGAGAAGGTTATAATTAGGGGAAATAACAATAGTATGATGCAGTCTACCAAGATTTAAATTTTTTTCATGTGGCTGAACTAATAAGTTGCTTAAAAGGAAACTGATGTAAAAAGCAAAGCTTCCTTGTAAACCCAGTATTTACTGCTCTGAGATCTCTGAAACCACTTAAGATCTTAGTCATTAAAGGTGGAAGTGTATCTTATAGAGAAATTATATCCTCAACTCAGTGCTTAGGGTAGAATTGAGTATAGTCAGAATTATCTTTCCTAAATTCATTGGGAAGGCGCCAAAATAGAGATGGATATAGTAACCATATCTTGGTGAGTCCAAACCTTTCTAACACCAGATAAAGCATTTGGTTTGCTTAATAGTGTGTGTGTGTGGGGGGGGGGGTCATGTAGTATAATAAATATATGTATTGTCTTTAAAACTAGAATCACCATCAGCAAGATTCTCTGAAGAGACACAAGAGAACTGAGAATGAATGAAAGGAAAACGTTCATATTTACCATTCTATATACAGTGGAAGAGACCATCTTGATTCTAAGAGTTGAGAGCCAGATATAAGTGAGGTTGCTCACATAGTTAAGGCCAAAATCAAAAGGAAAATATGGGCTTCCTCTTAGACAAACCTCTTTAAGAAGGGTCCTCACCACATCTCCACTTCCACCTTGCTCCCTGCTATCTCACTCCATTCTAGTGTCTATTCCCATCATTCTAGCAAAACGGTACTTGCTACGATCCAGCAACGACCTCCTTACCACTTCTTCCATTGGACTTGCTTCAGCCTGAAACTGAAGTGAGTTCCTGCAGCAGCATTTGGCTGTATCAATCACTAGGTTTCTGAGACAACAGTTAACTCCTGCTTTTCTTTTCTCCCACTTTAGTGTCCTTTACTGGTTCACCTTCCTCCACCAAGTCTTCAAGATGTTGAAGTTAGAACTGGACTCTTTCCTTTCTCTCCACAGGCGATCTCCTCTACACCCAGGGCTGCAATTAGCAACAGCAAGCCATTAACCCTTCGATATTCTAACCATACCTCCTGTTCTAGGTCTAGATATATGTATCCAGCATCAACTCAGCAGTTCCAGGTGTCCATCACAAAATGTCAAAAACAACTCATGATCCTCCCCCAGACCTAGTTGTCCAGTTTCTATCTCAATGGATGGTACCACCCTCCATCCATGTAAAACCAAGTACCCCTAAAACTGAGTTCCTCTGCTGAGTTTCTAATTAACCTCTCTATCCAAAACTTTATTCCCTTTCTTGTTCCACACCTATTCCCCCTCAAGATTTAGGAGTATCAAGGAAAAGGGAGGATTGTAATCAAGCAGGACCCTATGGGGCCTTCCTGGGACAGACCTTTCCCCTGCCAGGTCCTCTGCCTGCCTCCTGTTTATAGGAAAACTTTAGCCTTTTAGGCCTTCCCCGAGTTACAAAGAGCAAATTTAATCATAGGAATGAGAAAAAGCAGAAACAAAGGAAAACAAGCAAGACAAAATAACAATAGTTTAGCTACGGAAAAAATTTAGTTCCTCCTCAAGGACTACAGATAATATTCTGAGCCATATCCTTGAGCTGTTTCGCAAATACTGAAACTCCCACCAGGTGGAAGAAGTTAACTGCATGTTAGCCACAAGCACACAGACCACAAGCACAGATGGAACCAGAAGGTTGATGATGCTGAGTCCCAATTACCTCACCACCAACCAAGCAGAAGAATGTCCACGAGCTGATCACACACCCTAG